CCTCAAAAGTTTAATTTGGGATCTGTGGGGCCCCAAAATTTTAATTTGGGATCTGTGGTGCCCCAAAAGTTTAATTTGGGATCTGTGGGCCCCCAAAATTTTAATTTGGGATCTGTGGTGCCCCAAAATTCGAATTTGGAAGCTATGTTTGCCCAAAATTCGAATTTGGGATCTGTGGTGCCTCAAAAGTTTAATTTGGGATCTGTGGGGCCCCAAAATTTTAATTTGGGATCTGTGGTGCTCCAAAAGTTTAATTTGGGATCTGTGGGCCCCCAAAATTTTAATTTGGGATCTGTGGTGCCCCAAAATTCGAATTTGGAAGCTATGTTTGCCCAAAATTCGAATTTGGGATCTGTGGTGCCTCAAAAGTTTAATTTGGGATCTGTGGGGCCCCAAAATTTTAATTTGGGATCTGTGGTGCCCCAAAAGTTTAATTTGGGATCTGTGGGCCCCCAAAATTTTAATTTGGGATTTGTGGTGCCCCAAAATTTTAATTTGGCATCTGTGCCCTAAAATTTGATTTGGGAGCTGTGGTGCCCCAAAATATACTACGGACAGACGGACGCCAAAGTGAAACTATAAGGCTTTCGGCCATGGGCCACGAAACCCTAAAAAACTACGTGACTTTGAAATTTAAAAAAAATTCAAATAATTCAAAATTGAATTGCAAGAGTTTTGATTAGAGTACTGTTTGCCCCTCATTAAGTTCTACAAAAAACAGTAATAAAATTTTTTTCCATTTAAATTTCTTATCAAAGAAACTACAGGACTTTCAATTGACAACAATTAAAATATTTCGAAATTCAGTTCTAAGTATTCTGATAGTAGTTCTGTTTTCTCCCACTAAATTCTACAAAAAACCCTTAAGGGGTCTACCCACTTTAGACGCGATAAAATGAAGTTTGTTTTCTAGAATTTTTCTGATTGGTTTATATTATAAATATTGACATATAAGTTGTTAGACTAAAGAAAAACACTCCCGAAATACATGAAAAAATTTTTGTTATTTGTTTTTGTAAATTTTATATGCATGAAAATGGTAGTTGAAAAAAAATCCCACAACAATTTTTTTTCCGCGCTGTTGATGAAATCTCAGAAACGGCTCCACCGATCCTTACCAAATTTTTACCACTTATTCTTTGGGACCATAGCTCTTGCGCATATCAAGGGATTTTAAAAATTTTGATTCTAAATATTTTTTTTGGGCCCAAAACGGTCATAAACAACGTTTTTTTACATTTTTTTCGAAAAATGTCCGCCATTTTGCCAATTTTGCATAAAAAAAATCGTATGATATGCGCAATAGCTATCAACGTGCTGAATCTAATACCGTTTGAATTTTTTGTTTCAGACCATCCGTGTCAAAAATTTCATCAACAGCGCGCACCACACTTTTTTTAAACATATTTTTCAACATGTATTTTTAAATAAAAAAATTAATTGAAAAAAATCAAAAATATTTTTTTTTTTTTGCATTTCGAGAGTGTATTTATTATGTGCAATACCTCGCATATCAATATTTGTAATATAAAACTAAAAAAATATATGAAAATAGGCTATTTTTAGCCTGTCTAAAGTCCAAAGTCTTAGAAATCAAAATGTGTTAAATTGAACTCGCAACATAACTCTTGGAACTCAATTTTGAAAAAATTTTTTTTTTTTTTTAAATTTTAAGATCATGTAGTTTTTGTAATTTTAAGTTTAGAAAAAAATTTTAGGAGTGTTTTTTGTAGAACATAGTGGGGAGGGGGGTAAAAAGATTTCCCATCAGAACATGTGCAACTCGTAATATAAAAATTTATGAAAGTAAAAAAATTTTCGACTGTATATTTGCAGTTCTATTTTTAAAAACATAGGGAACTCTACAACTCTGTTAGAACTACTCAGAACTCAAAAAAAGGTTAATTTTGAAAAAAAATTTGTTTAGAATATCAAAGTTCACCCATTTTTTTTAATTTTAAATTTTGAGTAAAATGTTCTAAGGATAAATCGTAGAACTCTTTACGAAGTTGCTAAACCTCTTATCAGAACTCATAAAAACTCAAATTTTTGAAAAAAAATTTTCGGAAATTTCAAAGTTCAGCACTTTTTTTTATTTTGAATTTAGAGTAAAATTTGATAAGGATAAGTTGTAGAACTCTTGATGAAGATGCCAGAACTCTAATTAGAACTCATGAGAACTCAAATTTTTTCGAAAATTTCAAAGTTCAGCACTTGTTTTGATTTTGAGTTAAGGGTATGTGGGCGAAGGAGGTTTTTTTGTGGTTTGAATCTTTCTCTGAAATAAAAAATGATTTTGGGTTGAAATTCGGGAGAAATGATTTACTTTGGTACAAGGAATCTCGCTGTTCTACTTATTTACTACAACTTAACGCAAAAATAATAAAAATAAAGCAATAAATAGTAAAATAATGTGTTTTATCATAGTTCATTCAGCGGCCACTCGCTTAAATTGGCGCTGTTTACTGGAGCACTGACACACTCAAGCAACGACTCTGTATGCGCCGCCATCTTTTTTTCATTTTCGTTTAAAAATCCCACTTTTTAAACTTCATTTTTTTAATAATTTAACGCAAAATTATGTATTTTTCGGAGAACAGCGAGATTCATTGTAAGTACCAAAATCTATCATCCCTCAAAATTTTAGACAAAAATCTTTTCTCGTTTTAGAGAAGGATGTATACTAACAAAATACGTTTTTCCATACTAGGTCACGTGGGAGGTTCCCACATACCCTTAAGAGTAGAATTTCATAAGAATAATTTGTTGAACTATTGATAAAGGTGCCAGAACTTTGGTCAAATTGACTAAAACTTTAAATTTTTCAAAATTTTTAAATTTTGCGGAACTTTTTTTTGTTTTATAAGAGAACTCTAGAACTCTGTATTTTCTATCGGAATAATATGTCAGAACTCTTCTTTGCGAAATTTATAGTGCTGGGTGAAGTTAGCACCTTATTTTTTTAATATCATGTTTTCTGGTCTAAATCTACGGAACTATTGAATTAAAACTTATAGAACTCTAGAACTATTGATAATTTACCCAGAACTCATTGTGGATTTTTCATTTTTTGAGATTTTGGTGTCAATTATATAAATTATTATATAAATTATGTAAATTATATTTACTTATATTTATATATTTGATAGATAGAGAATTTAATAAAAAAGTATTATGATTATAATTTCAAATAAATAAATAAATAATTGTGCATTTCATAATTTTATTATTTCAATTTTAAAAAATTTAAAAAGCTCAATTTAATTTTGGATGGTCTATATGAAATATCCAATGTGAGATATCCCGTCTCAGATACTGCAGGAAATCCAGTGTAAGATATCCCTAGGATATACAGAACGGGTTACCCACGGGGTGGAAGTTTGGATATCCTTTTTTTATATGGGATTTGCCAAAATTTCAAATTTCAATATTTTTTAAAACCCTTCGTTCAATCACTAGTCAGCAATATCTTATAAGTCAAGTAATAAAATATTTTAAAAATGTAATTTCCTTTATTTGATTTATTTTGTGTAATATATTTTGGGAAAAAACATTTTTAATAACATTAAGTAAATTGCGAATGAAAAGCGTAAGTTTCAAAAAGAAAAACGTTTGCTTCACACAAAAATTATACAAAGAATTATACAAAAAAAAAAGTAAAAATGGAATTCATAGTTAAAGCTGTTCGAGGACCACCGTGCATAGTTAAATCAAACAAACGTATCATTTTTTTCCACTAACCCAGCGATATGTACAGGAGACATCATTTAGTCACAGTGTAAAAAAACCTGAAAATTTGAGAGAAATAACCACGTCATAAAATAAATAAATTAGATAGATAGATTAAAAAAGTAATTAAATTAATAAATACAATAATAAATTTAAAAAATTATTAAAATTAAGAAACGCGATCTGAAATAATAAGCGTTGCGATATTGTTAAATGTTAAAAAATATTTTTACCAAGATACCTTGGTTACAGTAAAGAATTTGGTAGATTTTAAAACAAAGGATAATGTCAGCCTTCGAAAAAATCTAATATTAATATGTATTTTATAATTATTTGATTTGAAACGAGACATGTTATATGAGATCCTGATCAATTGTCCGAATGTATGTTTGTATGTATGTGTGGACCCCTTTTTTGTGAACACAATAACTTAAACAGATTTTAATGGATTTGGGTAAAATTTGGTAGGCTTATTTATCACATTAATATCTCAAAATGGACGAAAGGATATTAAAAAATAACCAAAAAAAATTGTTATCGTCTTTTTTCCAAAAATTTTTTTAATCGAAAAAATTTTTAAATAGCAAAATTTAAGGTGATATATAATAAAATCCTATTTATTACGTCAAGACGAATCGATTGGTATATATAAAGTATAGATTTGATTTAAATTTAAAGAATTAGGTAATGAAAGTTAAAAAATCAAAAATTCACATTTTAGCTGGAAAATTTTGTATACTCAAATGTTTATATTATTTATGTATGTTTATTTCAATGTTAATGTTTTCTCCACGAGGAAGCAAAATGTTCATGTAATGAACATCTGAATTTACAACTTGTTATTTTGTCTGACCGAATAAAATCCCTTTTTATTTGGCCAGCCTTAATTATTTAGTCCTGTTAATAATATTATTACACTTAACAAATAGTTAAATCACCATCTTATTCTGCCTGTGTATTGGCCGAATAAATAAACGTTATTTCTGCAGTTTTTACTCGTGCTCGTGACGTACAATCGCTAAATAATTAAAACAGCTTATTCTGACAGCGAACTAAGCGAACAGATGCAGCATTAATGTAATTTAAACCTTCGATTATACTGAGTGAACATGTAGGTCTTTCTTATTTACCGTTATTATCCGAAAAAACACCCAAGATTCATAACTTGTTAAAGAAATTAATCCAATTTGGAAAGTGAATTGTCTGCCTGGATTGCCAGGAAATAACCTAAAAATTAAGATTAAACAAAAGACTTGCCTATTGTTACTCACCTTGTGAGACATTCAGGCGATGCCAGAGCGCGTATGATCCGATAAAACTTACAACTTCAAAGACTAAAAAAGCTTTCAGGAAAATGCCACTAAACTGATTCTTTGATTTCTTAATTAACATACTAGGAGCAAAGATTTCCTAAAATGGAAATCATCAATACCGGGAGAAACCAGCGACGAAATAACAAAACTTGAGTATAATATAGCTACTGACCGACATTAAACATACTACACAAATTATAAGGGCCAACGCACAATAGTTTCGGGAAAGTCATTTGTGAAGGCCTGAGCAGCATAGAAACGTAACCGGAATCGTAATCGCAAACGCAACCGGAAGAATGAGTTAGAGAACGATAGACATATTGTTTGTCCTTCTCTAACTCATTCTTCCGGTTGCGTTTGCGATTACGATTCCGGTTACGTTTCTATTCTGCGTTGGCCTTGAACGAGTGAATGGATATGTTCTTGTGACGTCTGGGCCGTTTCTACGGAAGCTTCTACGCGCCACCGCCACCTCGTAATGGAGCGTCTCCAATAGGAACCTAAGGTTGAGTCCAGAATAGTACGGAAGCCTGTATGGCTCACGAGCGTTTCGGACGCAAGTGGCGGTGTTTCGTACCACAAGTGGCACGAAATCCGTCCAACTTGTGGCAAGTTCGTTAATTCGTGCCACTTGTTGGACAGACTCCGTGCCACTTGTGGAAAGTGGATTTTTTGAAGGGTCATTCACAAATATGACAATTCCGTTGGATCCTGTTGCTATCTGTCAGTGCTTTTCATTTCAATTTCATGTGAAGGCCAACGCACAATAGGTTCGCGAACGAGATGCATGAGATAGAAAAGGATACGAATATATCTCTGTCTTTTTCTAACTCATGTTTCACGTTCGCGAACGTCTTTCGCAAAGCTATTCTGCTTAGGCCTTAAAGAAGAAGAAATGAATTTTATAAGATATTAGCATATTAGTAAATGTCATCGAACAAACTTTTTATAGTTCACACATAAATACTCCTTCCAAACGTAAATATACATATTAATAAACTAAGGATTCCACTAAGGGTACGGTCACACGACTTTTGGAAAAACCATTCTTGTCTTTCTCTCTCCTATTACAGACGCATAAGTTTGTCTCACTCTGCATTTTCCGTCTTTGGGAAATGTAAGAAAATGCAGAGTGAGACAATCTTATGCCTCTGTCTTAGGAGAGAGAAAGACAAGAATGGTTTTTCCAAAAGTCGTATGACCGTACCTTAAGAATTAAGCGGAAGTTTTTTCTTAGTTTTTTTAATTTTTCTTAGTTTAGTATAAAAATAAGATTTTTTGGTTATGTTGTCATTTTTTAATTTAAAATATATGAAGAGGATTTTATTTTTTAAAATCAAAAGTATATTTTTATGAATATTTAAGATTAATCAAGATGTCAATATCATTTGTTTACACTGAAATGTAATCTTTTACATGTATTTTCAATTAAAAAATAACAAATTCATTTTTATTCAAAGTAAGAAAAATTAAAAAAACTAAGAAAAAACTTCCGCTTAATTCTTAGTGGAATCCTTAGTTTATTAATATGTATATTTACGTTTGGAAGGAGTATTTATGTGTGAACTATAAAAAGTTTGTTCGATGACATTTACTAATATGCTAATATTACTAATATCTTATAAAATTCATTTCTTCTTCTTCACATGAAATTGAAATGAAAAGGACTGACGAAATAGATAGCAACAGGATTCAACGGAATTGTCATATTTGTGAATGACCCTTCAAAAAATCCACTTTCCACAAGTGGCATGGAGTCTGTCCAACAAGTGGCACGAACTATCGAACTTGCCACAAGTTAGACGGACTTCAAGCCACTTGTGGTACGAAATACCGCCACTTGCGTCCGAGACGCTCTCTTCAATTAATAGGTTAGAAAGAGTAGAAAAAACAAAATGGAGGGAGAGAATGGGTCAAAGTTACTAGATTGTTACTAGACCACCGTTCCCAATTGGAGAAAGGCACTAATCAATTTCTGCTTTTTTATTTTTAAGGCCTGAGCAGAATAGAAACGTAATCGCAATCGTAAACGGAAGAATGAGTTAGAGAAAGATAGTCATATATTGTTGTTCTTCTCTTACTAATTCTTCCGTTTGCGATGACGATTCCGGTTACGTTTCTATTGTGCTTAGGCCTTTATGGCTGGGTAGTGAAGTTACGCGAAATATTCACGTATAAAGGTCTGAGCTACGGAAGCTTCTACGCGCCACCACAAAACCAAGTTTATGCTCGATTCATTTTAGCCTCGAAAACTAAAGAACCGTTTGTGATTTTGCTGTTTCCATGTTTTTGACGTGAAAAACCGCGAGGTGGTTCAAATGTTCGCTCGTTCGCACGTTCGCAGATTCGAAAATTTGTCCAAAATCGTGTAACATTGTCTTTTTAGTTATATTTATAGATAAAAGTAAATACCTTGATATTTCAATTCTTAAATTTTATGTAAGATTTTATGATGTCCGCAATTAAATAAAGTTTTTGCTTTTATTTTGAGTAGAAAATATCGTTATTTTGAGGTGGATTGGGGTTTTTCTTTGTTATCTATGTAATAATAAATATAAATAAATAATCGATTTATTTTAATATAAGATTATGTAGTATGTATGCACGTGAGATTTTACATAATAATTGTCCTTCCTTTTCACATGTTTATCTTATATTATTTACAATAATATATAATGCTTATAGAGAGAAGCAATTATTTAATAGGATGTTAATAATCCTGTGTAATTTCGTGCGGACTTTTTTTATTTCTATGTAAAGTCATCCCGCCAAGAAATTGCTTTTTGACAGCTTTAGAATTTGATAAGAATGATAAACAACGCTTCCAAATAAACAAAGTTTTATGAAGAGGGATCAGTCCAAATTATTTTGAAACATGTTTTTTAATACTTAATATAATATTGAATGTAACTAACAAATTTTTGATTTTCAACAATCACTGACACATAAATTTATGTATAAATTTTTTACAAAAATGAATGTCTGTCTGAATTGCTAAAGTCTTTTTTATGAATTTCAGCCAATTTATAAAATTTTTTTATTATATATAGTACATGATATATTTCGTTATGTAAATAAAAAAAGACGCATGTACATCTTACTTGAAACTGAGATTCTTTTAAATTTATAAAATTTACGAATAATGCGAGATTTCATTACATATAAAAGAAAAAGAAAATTGTAACTCTTAAGAGAAGTTACTTAACAAAAGAATTAGAATTATTATGACATATAATTACATGTGAATACTTTTTTAGACATTTTATTTCTAAATTAATAGAATAAATAACTATCAATTCAAAAAAAAATTATTTTATATGATATGACCAATCCACCTCAAAATAACGATATTTTCTACTCTAGAATTTATTCTCACATAAATTTAGCAATTGAGGAAACTATAAAAAGTTAACTTAATTGTAAAATAATATCTTCACGCTTTAAGTATTTTCAAGTCTTATTCTCAAATCAAAGAATATAAACAGTTCTAAGAAAAGTCATAAATTAAGTAAAATAGCAAAAGGAAATATGATTCTAACTTTCCTTTAATCCCAACCATGAAATAAAAACCCTTAAAGATCATAAAAAAAATCCACTTGAAAAAGTTGTGGTCCTTTCTCTACAGGACACCAAACACATGTTGACCAGACACACATGTAGACTCGCTAAATCGAGAAAAGTCACGTATTGATCAAACAAAGGATAAAATATTTGTAAAGAAATATTTCATATCAACTAGATTTTTACATTAAAAATATAAATTAAAAATCATCATCTTCTCTATAAAACATTATTAAATATATAATCGTGGTGTGTGTGTTATTTACACAATAACAAGATAATAATTAATTATTACATTAATACGTATGAGTATGTTATATTGTTAATTATAATATTTATAATATAATAAATATTATGTATAAGATATACCTTGAAATATATAATTAGTAAAGTGTATATAGTAAATAAGATACGTAGTGTTGTGCAGTGCAGTGTTGCTGGAAACAGCATAGAATAAGAAAATATAAAGAGCATGCGCAAAGAAGCCACATGGACTCACAGCTGAGCGCTTCTCCACTACTTGTACTTTATGCTTTACGTCAGATCTTATCTTGCCTTCGACTTGTCGAGTTCGCTCCAAGTCAACTTTGTATTTGTCTCTTTCTATATTTAATAAAAGCTTGGGTTTTAATCTAGAAGTCGGAACAATTAATAATTGGTTAATTCGTTATCTAATTATTATTGTTCGTCTTCAAGAGGATTTTCCCTCCGTTTTAACGGAAATTAATTGTGTAATTATTTAAACTTTCCCGGTTCATTTTAATGATTAACACTAAGGCTGAATCCACAAAATAACCAAGTGAAATTGCGCTTGCGCAATTAAATATACAACTTGGCTCGTAACAGCTCTGTCACTTGTGACGTCAGAGTCGATTCTAGGTGTGACGTCAGAGGCCTGGAGGGACAACAAGCAGACGACACAATGTTATTCTTATGGGGAAGAAAATTAGTTTCCACTTTCATCAGTTTTATTCATACTTTAAACATGGAAAACGCTTGTTGACATATAATAAAATTAAAATGTGTGTTGATAATTAATTTTGTTATGTATTTGATTCAATTGCATTGATAGATTCTCTTAATTCGTGATAATATATAAATTTTAAAGTTATGGGTGTTTGTTTACTAACTTGAAATCTTTTACTGCTGCAGTAATTCTCACTTCAAATATATAATTTATATCTTTTTTAATAACGCATACTGGATATTGTTTAATAATGTTGTTAAAACGTAAAATGTGATTAGTAAAGAAACACCCCTAACCTCAAAATTTATATTTTATCACGAATTAAGAGAATCTATTAATGCAATTGAATCAAATATATATAACAAAATTAATTATCAATACACATTTTAATTTTATTATATGTCAACAAGCGTTTTCCATGTTTAAAATATGAAAAAAATTGATGAAAGTGGAAACAAATTTTCTTCCCCATAAGAATAATATTGTGTCGTCTGTTTGTTATCCCTCCAAGCCGCTGACGTCACACCTAGAGTCGACTCTGACGTCACAAGTGACAGAGCCTAAAGGTGCTTTTATACCTCAAATTTCGATCAGATGAACATTATTTCTGGACCGTGAAAATGCGTGAAAAGTTATTTTCACGGAGGGTATTTTTGAATTGTTTCAAAAAAAAAATTTTTTTTTTAAGAAATATAATATTAAATAAGTGTTTTAATATGTAAGAACACTTTAAAATAGTGATAGAAAGATGATTTGATTGAAAAATTTAGCAAATTTCGCTTTAAAACGTTTTCTGATACAAGAAAGTGTAAAATGACGATGTTTGTGAAATGGTTTGTACAGTGCTTCTTCCTTGTGAGTGTCTCTCAGAGTTTTGTTTATGTTATGTCGGTTCTTTTTAACTTGTAATAAATAATGAGTACTGAAAATAAATCGGTAAGTTGAAGTGTTTATTGAATAATTTTAAATTCAACTACTTTGATTGGAAAATTAATTATAATTACTTATGAAAATCATAAGTAATTGAGGAGCCGGATCGTAGAACCGATTCTTCGCTCGAACTCACGCAGAAGTATTGTCCGCCCCTACATATTTTATCTATTTGAAACTTTTTCCTAAAATGTAATTTATTAGTACTAAAAAAAGAAAACTGAAAAATTTTTTTTTCGAAAATAAATTACTTTTTAATAAATATATCGTCCTTTTTCGGTCAAATATTGACGAAATTTTGTGAAATTTTGTAAGCATACACAATATACACAACAGAAGCCTACAAGCTATAAAAAATAAGAAAAATCACATTATTTATTTATTAAAAAATTTTAAAAGACGTCATTTACAAATAGAGGAATTTCACTTTTCTACACAAAAAAGTATGCGATGAATTTTCAAATTATGAAAACTTCTCGCGAGAAAGTTTTTCCTTTACTAATCAGGAAGTTTTTCCCACAATTTCAAACTGATTCGAATATAAATAAAGAAAATACGAGGAAAATAGCAAAACCGTACTTTCGTTCGCAACGAGAATGTAAAAAGGCAGCCATGTTTGTCGTCGCAACGTCACGCGCGCGCACACACACACACATATATGTAAACAACTTGAGGGAGCCTTAGTTGCTGCTGTGTGTGTGTATGCGCGCGTGTCATTGCGACGACAAACATGGCTGCCTTTTTACATTCTCGTTGCGAACGAAAGTACGGTTTCGCTATTTTCCTCGTATTTTCTTTATTTATATTCGAATCAGTTTGAAATTGTGGGAAAAACTTCCTGATTAGTAAAGGAAAAACTTTCTCGCGAGAAGTTTTCATAATTTGAAAATTCATCGCATACTTTTTTGTGTAGAAAAGTGAAATTCCTCTATTTGTAAATGACGTCTATTAAAATTTTTTAATAAATAAATAATGTGATTTTTCTTATTTTTTATAGCTTGTAGGCTTCTGTTGTGTATATTGTGTATAGGGTTGTGAGTCGTGAAACGTTTCATTGAAAGATTGAAACTTTCATTTGAAAGTTTCAATCTTTCATGGACGAAAATTTCATTTGTTTCATGAAACATAAGGTTATTCAAGTTGGGTGGGGGAAAGCCAAAATGGATGCTTGCTGGTGCACAAACATCCGGCCTATCAGCCAATCAGCATTCACTCCCATGTGAAATTCACGGTACTTTCACATGGGAATGAATGCCGATTGGCTGATAGACCGGATGTTTGTGCACCAGCAAGCATTCATCTTGGTTTTCCCCCACCCAACTTGGATAACCTTATTGGAGAACCAATAGTGAGCCTTCATGTGCACATGCGCAATAACGTAATAAATATTTCAGGTTAGGTCAAAAAATAAACTTGTGAAAAGTTAATTATAATAATAAAATGTTTTACATTTTATTATATTATATCATAATTTTGCCTATGTTTCGAACTGAAATCAGTTCATCTTCAGGGCTAAAAATTTAAACAAAATATCACATTAAATAAATTTTCAATTAAAACAATTTAAATATAATAAATATCTGTTTTAATTTTCGAGTAATCGTTGGTATGCTATTTTTATGTATTATAATTATCGAGAGATATTTATTATATTTATTTAAACTGTTTTGATTGAAAAATTATTTAATGTCGTATTCTGTATGAAATGTTTATAGCTATGAAAATGAACAGATTCCAGTTCGAAACGGAGACAAAATTCTAATATAGTAATAAATCAAATATGACCAAAAAATCCGTTTTAAAACATTATTATTTCCAGTCGTTAAATTAATTAATATTATTATTAATAAGGATTTATTATATAAAATTTAAATATTCCCGCCTCTTTCTTTGAAACTTTGAAACGTTTCATGAAGCATTGAAACTTTCATGAAACTTTCATTCAACGAAAATTTCATGAAACTTTACAACCCTAATTGTGTATGCTTACAAAATTTCACAAAATTTCGTCAATATTTGACCGAAAAAGGACGATATATTTATTAAAAAGTAATTTATTTTCGAAAAAAAAATTTTTCAGTTTTCATTTTTTAGTACTAATAAATTACATTTTAGAAAAAAGTTTCAAATAGATAAAATATGTATTTTTTTCTTCTGCATAACCTAATATTTTTTAAATATTATATTTATGAGTTTTAAAATTTGATGGTATAGTGGAGGGGCGGACAATACTTCTGCGTGAGTTCGAGCGAAGAATCGGTTCTACGATACGGCTCCTCAATTATAAAACTTGATATTTAAAAACCACGAAGTAGTATAAGGAGACGTAACGCCCATAGTAGATTGTGGTGAAAGTGAGCCCCAAAATCGTGTCCTAGAGTTTACGCATTTTTCTAATAATGCGATGAGGACGCCGCGCGTGGAGAAATAGAGAATTAAAATTTATCACGTGCTCGTACGGAAGCGCCTACGAGTCACCAGCGAACTATCTTGTTCGCGTCACATTTTTAGCTGTGAAACCGAGGAACGCGTTCGATGGTTTCGCTGTTTCCTTGTTTTTGAGTGACGATAAAACACACTATACGGTTCGATAGTTCGATGGTACGGAAGCCTGTACGGCTCATGAGCGTCTCAGACGCAAGTGGCGGTGTTTCGTACCACAAGTGGCACGAAGTCCGTCCAACTTGTGGCATGTTCGTTAGTTCGTGCCACTTGTGGAAAGTGGATTTTTTGAAGGGTCATTCACAAATATGACAATTCCGTTGGATACTGTTGCTATCTATTTCGTCAGTGCTTTTCATTTCAATTTCATGTGAAGAAGAAGAAATGAATTTTATAAGGTATTAGTAATATTAGCATAGTAGTAAATGTCATCGAACAAACTTTTTATAGTTCACACATAAATACTGCTTCCAAACGTAAATATACATATTAATAAACTAAGGATTCCACTAAGAATTAAGCGGAAGTTTTTTCTTAGTTTTTTTTTAATTTTTCTTAGTTTAGAATAAAAATAAGATTTTTTGGTTATGTTGTCATTTTTTAATTTAAAATACATGAAGAGGATTTTATTTTTTAAAATCAAAAGTATATTTTTATGAATATTTAAGATTAATAAAGATGTCAATATCATTTGTTAACACTGAAATGTAATCTTTTACATGTATTTTCAATTAAAAAATAACAAATTTATTTTTATTCAAAAACATTAAACGGACTTGCCCGGATGAAATTATACTTGAAATGAAAAGCACTGACGAAATAGACGGCAAAAGGATCCAACGGAATTGTCATATTTGTGAATGACCCTTAAAAAAATCCACTTTCCACAAGTGGCACGGAGTTTGTCCAACAAGTGGCACGAACTAACGAACTTGCCACAAGTTGGACGGACTTCGTGCCACTTGTGGTACGAAACACTGCCACTTGCGTCCGAGACGCTCGTGAGCCGAACAGGCTTCCGTACGATGGTTCTCTGGTTTTACTTAGTTCTATCGTTATCGAAGTCTAAATTTTGTATTAAAAAAATAAATTTAAATTTAAAAACCGAAATATAATAATATATTTAAATTATATATTTGAGATATATCAGATATCTTATAATGTGTGCCTAAAAAATTATTTTATTTAAAAATAATAGTACAAAATATTAATAGTATAGTAGGTACTTCAAAATAATATTTTGTACTATTATTTTTAAATAAAATAATTTTTTAGGCACACATTATAAGATATCTGATATATCTCAAATATATAATTTAAATATATTATTATATTTCGGTTTTTAAATTTAAATTTATTTTTTTAATACAAAATTTAGACTTCGATAACGATAGAACTAAGTAAAACCAGAGAACCATCGAACTATCGAATCGTACAGTGTGTTTTATCGTCACTCAAAAACAAGGAAACAGCGAAACCATCGAACGCGTTCCTCGGTTTCACAGCTAAAAATGTGACGCGAACAAGATAGTTCGCTGGTGACTTGTAGGCGCTTCCGTATATAAAAGCACCTTAATACTCGGGAAGTATGCAGTCTAGTGAAAGTGTCTTAACATTTCACAACCTTGTTTCCAAGTTAATTTTTTTCAGAAGTTGAATTTCCCTAGACTACAGGAATTTACTAGAAGCAGTTAGCAGACGACTTGGACCATTTGTTTACCATGCTTTGAGTCCACAAGGGGACAATAAACAAATCGAAACCGAACTGTCATTTTAATGTCTGCGTGAATAATAAATAATCATGATTTCTATTGGATTTGAAGGTAGTGCTAATAAATTAGGAATAGGAATTATTAGGGACAATGAAATCATGTCTAATGTACGGCACACTTATATCACACCACCCGGTGAAGGTAAGGTTATCTATCTTTATAGAAATATATCGTTGCATTTTTCCTGAATATTCTCAAATAGCATTCACTATTCTTACAATATTAGAGTATTCTTTAAATTTCCTGTTAACTACAATATTTCATGGCAATATTAGACTGTAAGGTGGTTTCTGACCTACGTTGACTGTAATCATGGGTCACTCGTGTCCGACGCTTTAAAAAGTGATTTAAAAAATCGGACATAATTCATAATATAGCATTAACTATCCCAGAATAAGGGCCAATAATTATATTGCTGAAATGTTCATTTGTTTAAATAATATATTTGTTTGAAAACACGAAAAAAAGATTTTTTTTCAAAAAATCATAACTTTTAATAAAGTCAATATTTTTTAAAATTTCGAACGGGAGTGTAAAGCTGAAGAGTGGTAGTTTAAAGGAAAACATACTGAAAATCTTCATAAATAAAAGAAATGCTGAAGTTTTAAGCATGAAAATCATGTTTTTTCAATGTACGTAAAAGAGGTACAAATTACAATGAATAGATGGGTCAATCCATTATATTTCGAATGAAGTCGTCGCTGACTAATTTTTAAAAATTATAATACTTTGCAGGAATGATTTTGAAGTTATCAAGATCACGAAATGAAAAGAATTTTATTAAAATTTTAATTATTTATTGCAAAATATGAATTTAAAGTTTATGAGGTGCTGAAAACTGTCAATTTTTTAGCCATTAGAAAATATGCAAAAAAAACAGAATTTACCATAAAAATAAAAAAAAATTGTTGTAATTTACTAAGAATGAATAAATTTATCATTAATAATTGATATAATTATTTAAATATGTGAAATAATATATAAAATATGATTTTCAAGTTCGCCTGTCAAATAACCTAAATTTGCAAATTTCATCTATTAAATGTGAGAAAGAGAAGTCATTAAATTGAAAAAAACCTTACCAAATATAAAGTACCTGTGACTAACTTTTAGTTTTTCTTAGCACTTTTTTCCTTTTTTCTTCATAAATGTGAAATAAAAAGCAATAAAAATTGGCACTTTGCTTATTTTCACTATTTTCAAATGTAAATAACTTTCTTGGAGAAAACTGAAAAATTACAAAACTTGGGCAATATCTAATTGATCACTAACTACACACACTGGAAAAAAATTCGCTTTGGTCCCGAAGATACTTTTTGAGATAATTATGTTTAAATTTTTCACAATTTTTATCAGGTTAATGCATGTGATTTTTATAAAATTGAAGTTAGTTCAAAATGTTTAACCAATAAAACCTAACTTCGTCCTTAAAAAACTACATGTATTAACCTGATAAAAATTGTGAAAAATTTAAACATAATTATCTCAAAAAGTATCTTCGGGACCAAAGCGAATTTTTTTCCAGTGTGTGTAGTTAGTGATCAATTAGATATTGCCCAAGTTTTGTAATTTTTCAGTTTTCTCCAAGAAAGTTATTTACATTTGAAAATAGTGAAAATAAGCAAAGTGCCAATTTTTATTGCTTTTTATTTCACATTTATGAAGAAAAAAGGAAAAAAGTGCTAAGAAAAACTAAAAGTTAGTCACAGGTACTTTATATTTGGTAAGGTTTTTTTCAATTTAATGACTTCTCTTTCTCACATTTAATAGATGAAATTTGCAAATTTAGGTTATTTGACAGGCGAACTTGAAAATCATATTTTATATATTATTTCACATATTTAAATAATTACATCAATTGATAATGATAAATTTATTCATTCTTAGTAAATTACAAAAAAAATTTTTTATTTTTATGGTAAATTCTACGTATTTATGCATATTTTCTAATGGCTAAAAAATTGACAGTTTTCAGCACCTCATAAACTTTAAATTCATATTTTGCAATAAATAATTAAAATTTTAATAAAATTCTTTTCATTTCGTGATCTTGATAACTTCAAAATCATTCCTGCAAAGTATTATAATTTTTAAAAATTAGTCAGCGACGACTTCATTCGAAATATAATGGATTGACCCAGACATTATATTATTTTTTAATCTTCATTAAGTTTAAAAATTACAATAAAAAGGCATTATGTTAAAGACGGAAGTTAATTAAGGGGTAACACCACTCTAGCGGTAAGAAAAATAGCCTAACTTTGACGATTTATATTTGCAGTAGGATAAAAGGAATAGGATTTTTTTCAGATAGGTTTATTTAACACATATTCAAGTACAAAAAATAAATTTAATATTATTATTTTAATATAAAATGGCGGCGATAGAGTCCGGCTCAAAAATCTTGAATTTTTAAAACACCTACACGGGAGGACGATTTTCTAGGAAGGTGTAAGACCTAGAACAAAAATCCAAGAATTTTCTGAATCTCTACCCTATTGACAATGGAACTACGTAGGGGTTTTTTTTAAAATCAAAATTTGTACAAATGTTAGCACTTTGAAAAAAAATCGATTTTTTACCAAAAAACAAGCAGTAAATTGTTTATAAAAAAAAAAGTTTACATTAAATCAAAAAACGGCTACGTAGTTCCGTAAAGAAGGTTATTGTGTAGTTACTGTTAAAATTTCAGATCAATCCATGCAACGGTGTTCGAGTAATCCGTCCTCCCAGTTTGAAAAAAGTGGTTTCGAGGAAAACGCGTTTAAAGTAGAACGAACACACAATGGGCCAGCAGACCTTTACAATGTTCTAAAATTTATAATTTCCGGAGTACAACAAATTTAAAGCTTTTCATGACGAATTCTATAGTTTTTGGGGTCACTGATTACAAATCTGTAGTCAGATTTTGAAAATTCAAAATGGCGGATCCAACATGGCGTTGTTCAGTGTTCAGCCATGACGCCTATATGATGCATTAGTGACACTCAAAGGGTTAAAAAAAATTTTTTTCGTCATAGGATCACCTGCCTATTGTTTCTACAATCCTAAAGTACATTTTAACAAAAAAAAAAAAAAAATCGTTTTTTTGAAAATTCTAGAGTGGTGTTACCCCTTAACAAAAATAAATAATTCAAAGAGGCAATAATAATCTTTAGAATGTATACTAATTTTTACTATTAACAATTCCGCTAATAGGTAAAGCGTAAATTGCTCTTCGCTAACAAAGCTAGATTAAGGTAGTGGACTGTCCCTCAGTATATTATCAATTCAATAAACCCGGATAGACGGTATTTTAGAAAAAGTATCAAAAAGAGAGATATGATAAAGACATCAAAAAGGTGACTAAATAAATGAAAACGGAATTAGCACAACAAAAGAAATCCATTTATTCATTCAATCCCCAAAAGTATACATTTAGTTCCTCAATTGATCATTAAAAAAATGTTCACAATTAAAATGATAGTTACGTTAAGCTACTTGACTGAAATCAAGTCTCACAAGAATATAGTTTATTTCAAACAAAACAAAGAGATCAAATAAAAGAAATTTTCAATAATAAGAAAACAATTTGTCCATCATAAAATGAGACGACAAATTGTAAATTGTATGTGTTTGAAATGTGTGTAATAATGTTTGTCTTTCTTTCTAAGATTCTATATTTTTCAAATAATGTATGGATAATTGAAGGATTCGACTTTATCAGCAAAGTGACATCTATTAGATGTCATTAAAACTCCTTAGTTCAGAGTTAGGTGTTTCATGTGATAATTATATCGACATGATTTGTCGACAAATAATTATCAATTTTGAATTAATTTTGATCTGAAAAATAAGCTGCGTGCTCGAGTATACTGTGCATCTGTGAGGACTCGAACCTCCTTAGTTGCTGCATAACGCGGGACTTCTGCCGACTAATGCACCATGCCAACACAGCCTGAAGTAATTATGGGCTTGATCTGAGAATGTAAGAAGCTTGGTCGTTCAGGCTGTGTTGGCATGGTACATTAGTCGGCAGAAGTCCCGCGTTAGGCAGCAACTAAGGAGGTTCGAGTCCTCACAGATGCACAGTGTACTCGAGCATGCATCTTATTTTTTTAGATCAAAATTAATTCAAAAATTGATAATTATTTGTCGACAAATCATGTCGATATAATTATCACATGAAACACCTAACTCTGAACCAAGGAGTTTTAATGACATCTAATAGATGTCACTTTGCTGATAAAGTCGAATTCTTCAATTTCGTAATTTTCAAAAATCTTGATCAGCGATAAATATAGTATTTCTATATAAAATATATCTAATGTATGGATATTTAGAGCAACTCACCAGAATAATAATAATTAAAATGTTACAGAAAAGTATCAAATTACACGGAGAGAATTCTGTGGTGATTATTATACGAAACATAAAGTCGTAGCAACTTTTGCTTGAATTCAAATAAAATTCCCCAGGAACCCGACTTATAATTGCATTGAGTTCTCCTTATAAAAATTACTCGAACTCCAACTGATATTCAGGCGGAGTATATACAACACAAGCAAATTTGCGTGTACACACAGTGAGCACTGACACTTCCATGTTTACGTGTGTATGTCAGTGTACCTATACATATATACCGCCGGTTAGCTTGTGTTGTATAAATTCCGCCTGAATATCAGGTGGAGTTCGAGTAATTTTTATAATGAGAACTCAGTGCTATTATAAGTCGGTTTCCTCGCGAATTTTATTTGAATTCAAGCAAAAGTTGCTACGACTCTTCCATATGATTAATCTAGGTTATGTTTCGTATAATAATCACCACAGAATTCTCTCCGTGTACTTTTCGAACTTTCAAGAGTCTAACACTCGTACTTGACATACGATTCCCGCAAGTATGCGGGAGTCTTTTTAAGTTCCCACGGTGAGCTTGAATAAAGTTTAAATGAAAAGTTTAGTAACTACAAATGTTTTTGCGGATTTTAAATCTTCACGTTATCAGATTTATTTTACAAGAAAAATTAAAATGATCGGCGGAGGGTTTTTTGTGAAAAACCACTTTTACACGAAGAGAACTCTCTTACGAATATTGCACGACGGGCTGTTACTATTTTTCCAACAGAATATGTTTTGGAAATATCGCTTGAGACTGGAGTTAT